CTCAGCACTGCCTCCTCCCTTCATCCCCATCATCATCTGAACACCTGGTGACCCTGCACTGATGAAGCCGCTCTAAATGGGATTCAGTCACCCTAACCCTGGAGGATTGCGTCTGCAATTAATCACTCAGTGTTTTGAAACACAAACAGCCTGTTGATGCCCATTAGGAGTTTAAATGTGGAGACTCGTGTGTATGTTTAGCGGAGCTGTTGCTTTTTATGACACAGTTGTAAGTTCAGTTGATAATGTTTTTTTGTATTTTAAATGAATTAGACTACTCAGAAATGCTATTATTATGACATTTTTCAGTGAATAATTTTGAATCCTCTACCTTTTGCTGACAAAAAGTGGACAGCATACTTAAACAAGTAAACAATGATTATTTGATGACATTGATTCATGATTATTGACAGCCATACAGGTATAAGGCTTCACATTTTCTTTATTATATCAAGCTCTTCAAGCTGTCCTATTTTGGAAGTAAAAATGATCAAAAATGTCGACCAGCAAGTGAATAACAAATAAAGTTGTTTTCATTTTAACATCAGGTAAGGACAGCAAGAGCCAAGTGAAATGGAATCAAGCTGTCAAACTGTTTATGCTGCACAATGAACCAAAAGTAATAAAGCAGCACCCACGGGACTGTGTCCATACATTTATTCATCTGTGAAACCACAAAAGCACAAGCAAGTATGAAAAACTGGACACACAAACAAAGATCAAAAGAGCATCTGTATGCCAGAGACAGGGAGGCAATACACATGCACAATTCAACCACTCCGTACACATGCTCACTTATTCAGAGGCCCATGTACACAGAGTACATGCACACATGAACACACACGTTGTATAACGCCTTGGGCACAAGCCACGTTTCACATTTTACACTTTACGTGTTCAACGCAGACAAACAGGTCATGCCAACCAACATTAAAGGGAAATTTCTGTGAATCCATATAATCTCTTGCATCTGAGCAATTACCCACATGTGTGGGTAGCACTGAGGCAGAGACAGACACAGAGACAGGCGTAAAGATTGGCGAGCTTTGATTTCTGCCTCTTGTGGCCACTGCTACTGTAGTCTAGCTTCACAGATGTCAGCCACTTGATTAATCCTCCCGTTGGCTGACTTTAACTTCCTTCAAAATCCACCAACCAACAAATGTGCGGCAAACAAGAGCGGCAAAGGTAGCCATCCAGTTAGTTACACCAGAAAGTGTATGATGGAAAATAGAAAAGTGACAAGTGCTTTTTTCTTTTTCAGTAAAAATCCCAATAGAGTGGGGAAAAACATTAATATGTGTAAAACATATGACAATTTGGTAACTTCGAAAATGAAGCTTTCCCCTTTGGGAAATTATCTCAAGACACTTCCTCAGTCTAATCATGGGATTTTAAGAGTCTGTTTGGAAGGACACTGTGATTGCATTGTGAACTGAGTGCTTAGACAAGTGTAATTGGTTGCTTGCTAATGAATCCCAAATACCTGAGCTCAGAATGGGCTCTGCCAAACCAGTCTTCGTTTGATCCAGTAAAAAACAAAATAGATGCTTCTAACAGTCTCTGGGTAAACAAACGTGCATCCAATGAGAGATAATCTAAGCATATAGGATTCAACAAAGTTGTTTTTTTTAAAGGCATGGTAATGTATGCTGCATAAAAAAGCTAATTATGCATGTGTATCTTGAAGTTTCCCTTAACAACAAATAATTTACATGCCAACATTCTCCAGGATGAGAAATAGCGAGCTGAGCTTATATTTCAACAACAGAAAGATGCTAGAGTGTTAATTAAACAAAGCTCTATGCTGTAAATAGATAGCACAACATTCAGATGGATGAACCAAGTATGAGGAAAGTGGAACTGCATGACTGGTAGTAAAGAAAATGGGGATGCAGTAAAAACAGGTGGAAGTATGGGTGATGATAAGTGGCTACACATCTGTTGAGACTTTGAATGTGTGTGTGTGTGTGTGTGTGTGTGTGTGTGTGTGTGTGTGTGTGTGTGTGTGTGAGTGTGTGTATGTGTGATTGGCTGTTGGAGTGAAAGCAGGGTGCAGACGAGTAGAGTCGAGGTTGAATGCGGTGGGAAGGCTTGATTAGATTCTGGGGTCTAGCTTGTGTGGCTAAATTAGCGCGCATGGGTTGGTGTGTGTGTGTGTGTGTGTGTGTGTGTGTGTGTGTGCGTGTATTCGATGACATGTGGTGAAGATGGAGTGAGGCTATAAACCAGGTGGCTGTGACTGTTGGAAGGTTTTAATATATGTGGGGGAGCTTGGAAGACAACAGGGAGCTTAGAAAAGCGGTATTAAAAGGGCGGGGTTTGGATGGCAGGACAAAGTAAGAGAGAAAACATGAAAGTCGGGTGTGTCTCTATGGCGGCTTACTGTTTTAATGCGTTCATACTGATAGTGTTGCTAAAAATGATCACTTCTGTTGTATAATATGGCAATAAGAGAAGGAAAGCTCTGGCAGTTAATATAGGAAAATAAAAAGTGTGTGCAGCCAGTGCCACTCACATTGGGAAATGCTGTTTTTATATACAAATACATTATAAATATGTATAATTCAGAGATGAAAAACAAAATGAAATGTAAATAGCAAAATGAACTAGAAAATTCCTAAAGCAATTTTGATTGTGCCTTGCTCTGGCCCGTGACACTGGCCCATACATTACTGACACTGCCGAGTAGTTTACAGTACAATGAGGGGAGACACCCGTGTTTAATTCGGCGTCCGCGTGATCCACTAACAACCACGTATTTTAATGACAAATCGTGTTTTTTCCATCTATTCCCACGGTCTTCTCCCACTGAAATAGTGAGCCTGGTAACGAGTTGATGCGACAAAGTCGGCCAAAAAGTTGGTATTTATGTATTATATTGATGCCGAGTTAACAAGAAGACTGTTGAGATATGATGAGTTTTTTCTTGTGTTTCTACAGTTATGTGCTTTTATGTAAGCGCAAATAATTGTTAATATATGGTATTTCTTAAATGGAGTTTGGCATAATATTGTCCTGGGATAATGCAGGAAGGGTCATGGTTTAATTAAAATTGCTAAAGTAACTAAATAAGTAATAACCACAATGGTGGGAATAATAAGTATGTAGTTATAATAATAATAATAATAACAACAATAATAAGTAATGCTATCAATAATATGAATAACAATATTTATATTAATAAATAATACATAATTAAGAAAGAAAACTATTCTTACTGTGCAGTCATAGGCAGTTACAACAGTCTGAGTGTCTTCTTCCTCACAAAATAAATTTAACTTGATGTTTTATTACATTACTGAATCTGTATTACTTGTGTAATGTGTAACAAGTTGAAATAGATGGCTAATTAAGAATTTCAGTGTCTTTTGTGACGTTTAATTAGCAAAGTAATCGTTTGTCCTCTCTAGCTAGCGAGTGCTAGCACATTCATACCTTGTTCTGTCTAGCTAGCTGGCACTAGAACATTAGTAGCTTATCCTATCTAGCAAACAAAGCATATTAATTAATTAGCTAGCCTTCTTCTACCTTCTAATTCTCTTTAGGTAGCTAGCTAGAGCTAGCACACATAAACACATTAACCAAAGCTAGCGCTTAGCTATGTGCTAATCGCTAGCTAAACGCTAATCACTAGCTGTGCGCTAATCGCTAGCTAACCGCTAACCGCTAGCTAACCGCTAATCGCTAGCAAAGTGCTAGCTTTGGTTAATGTGTTTAATTGTATTATTCTCCTGAAGGAGTGCTAATATAAATTAAGGAACAGCTCATAGTAGGGTAAAATATTTGAGGTGTATTGAACTTATTTTGTGTTAATATTAAAATCATTCAGCTTTAAATTGTTTGCTTGTTAGCCACCTGTTAATTATCTTTAGCTAGCCAGCTAGCTTATTAATGCCATGTAATCCTCCCTATAGCATATTGATAACCTGTCATCCTCCTTAGCTAGTGCTAGCATACTGATATCATGTCATTCTCTTTAGCTAGCTAGATAGAGCTAGCACACATAAACACATAAACCAAAGGTAGCGCTTAGCTACATGCTAATCGCTAGCTAACCGCTAATCGCTAGCTAAGCGCTAATCGCTAGCTAAGTGCTAGCTTTGGTTAATGTGTTTAGTTGTATTATGCTCCTGAAGGAGTGCTAATGTAAATTAAGGAACAGCTCATAGTAGGGTAAAATATTTAAGGTGTATTGAACTTATTTTGTGTTAATATTAAAATCATTCAGCTTTAAATTGTTTGCTTGTTAGCCACCTGCTAATTATCTTTAGCTAGCCAGCTAGCGCTAGCTTATTAATGTCTTGTCATTCTCTGTAGCTAGCTGTGTGCGTGTGTGTGTGTGTATGTGTGTGTGTGTGTGTGAGCAGGCTTTGGTTGTCATGGCAATCAGGGGAGCCCACAGCAGCTGCGCGCGCTCTCTCTCTGTCTCTAACTCCTCAGAGAGACAGAAACATTTAAAATGAATCCCCTCAAAAGCATGGCCAGGAACGACCGAAATGAAAACCGAAAAGACCGTGGGCGTTGTCATCTTGTTGACTATAGCACTGCCAAGTTTCAGTGGTTAAAGTTAAAAAATGTGACCTGGGGAGATTGAGAGAGAAGAGGTTCAACGAGCTCCTTTCAAGATTCGTCCTCTAAAATTAACATGGGAGTAGATGGGGCCGTGAGAGGGTGTTGTTGGCGCATCAGTGCGTTTCCCGCCAAAACTATTTGTCTGACAGCTTCAGCAGTGGTATCACTGCGACCCCAACAAATTTACCTACGTTTCTATCTATAAATTATTTCTGTAGAGTGAAATTTGTGGCCATGACAGCAGTTTACAAATTTATTTTTCGACAAATTTTTCCCTTCTCCCCACACTCTAGCGATGATGTCACGCACTCTGGCAGTTTTTTTCAGTTGGAGGTTCTCGCAATACACACCCATTCATTTTTTTGACCGGTTTTTGGCGATTTATCGGCAAACCGTTTGGCGAAATTCTTAGAAAAGTCATAGCACTCGATTCCCGGCCGAGCCGCACGTTTTGATACCTTTTTTGTGTACGTGCGACAAAAGCTGCGGGAGAAGAAGCGCGCCGAAAAACGTACGGAAGAAGAATAATAACTAGAAAATTCCTAAAGAAATTTTGATTGTGCCTTGCTCTGGCCCATATGTTAATACCATGTCTACGTGCTAACCGCTATTTAACCGCTAATCGCTAGCTACATGCTAATCACTAGCTAAGCGCTAATCGCTAGCTAAGTGCTAGCTGTGGTTAATGTGTTTAATTGTATTATGCTCCTGAAGGAGTGCTAATGTAAATTAAGGAACAGCTCATAGTAGGGTAAAATATTTAAGGTGTATTGTTCTTATTTTGTGTTAATATTAAAATCATTCAGCTTTAAATTGTTTGCTTGTTAGCCACCTGCTAATTATCTTTAGCTAGTCAGCTAGCGCTAGATTATTAATGCCATGTAATCCTCCCTATAGCATATTGATAACCTGTCATCCTCCTTAGCTAGCGCTAGCATATTAATATCATGTCATTCTCTTTAGCTAGCTAGCTAGAGCTAGCACACATAAACACATAAACCAAAGGTAGCGCTTAGCTACGTGCTAATCGCTAGCTAACCGCTAATCGCTAGCTACATGCTAATCACTAGCTAAGCGCTAATCGCTAGCTAAGTGCTAGCTGTGGTTAATGTGTTTAATTGTATTATGCTCCTGAAGGAGTGCTAATGTAAATTAAGGAACAGCTCATAGTAGGGTAAAATATTTAAGGTGTATTGTTCTTATTTTGTGTTAATATTAAAATCATTCAGCTTTAAATTGTTTGCTTGTTAGCCACCTGCTAATTGTCCTTAGCTAGCCAGCTAGCGCTAGCTTATTAATGCCTTGTCATTCTCTGTAGCTAGCTGTGTGTGTGTGTGTGTGTGTGTGTGTGTGTGTGTGAGCAGGCTTTGGTTGTCATGGCAATCAGGGGAGCCCACAGCAGCTGCGCACGCTCTCTCTCTGTCTCTAACTCTTGAGAGAGACAGAAAACAATTAAAACGAATCCCCTCAAAAGCATGGCCAGGAACGACCGAAGTGAAAACCGAAAAGACCGTGGGCGTCATCATCTTGTTGACTATAGCACTGCCGAGTTTCAGTGGCTAAAGTTAAAAAATGTGACCTGGGGAGATTGAGAGAGAAGAGGTTCAACGAGCGTTTTCAAGATTCCTCCTCTAAAATTAACATGGGAGTAGATGGGGCCGTGAGAGGGCGTTGCTGGCGCATCAGTGCGTCTCCCGCCAAAACTATTTGTCTGACCGCTTCAGCAGTAGTATCACTGCAACCCCAACGGATTTACCTACGTTTCTATCTATAAATTATTTCGGTAGAGTGAAATTTGTGGCCATGACAGCAGTTTACAAATTTATTTTTCGACAAATTTTTCCCTTCTCCCCACACTCTAGCGATGATGTCACGCACTCTGGCAGTTTTTTTCAGTTGGAGGTTCTCGCAATACACACCCATTCATTTTTTGGACCGGTTTTTGGCGATTTATCGGCAAACCGTTTGGCGAAATTCTTAGAAAAGTCATAGCACACCATTCCCGGCCGAGCCGCACGTTTTGATACCTTTTTTGTGTATGTGCGACAAAAACTGCGGGAGAAGAAGCGCGCCGAAAAACAGGCGGAAGAATAATAAGAAAACTAAGCAAAGAGAAGAGTAGTATTGTGCTTGCTTATGCAAGGCACAATAACTAGAAAATTCCTAAAGCAATTTTGATTGTGCCTTGCTCTGGCCCATATGTTAATACCATGTCATTCTCTTTAGCTAGAGCTAGCACACATAAACACATTAACCAAAGGTAGCACTTAGCTATGTGCTAATCGCTAGTCATGCGCTAATCGGTAGTTAAGCGCTAATCGCTAGCTACGTGCTAATCGCTAGCTATGTGCTAATCGCTAGCTAACTGCTAATCGCTAGCTAAGCGCTAATCGCTAGCTACGTGCTAATCGCTAGCTACATGCTAATCGCAAGCTAACTGCTAATCGCTAGCTACATGCTAATCGCTAGCTAACTGCTAATCGCTAGCTAAGTGCTAGCTTTGGTTAATGTGTTTAATTGTATTATGCTCCTGAAGGAGTGCTAATGTAAATTAAGGAACAGCTCAGAGTAGGGTAAAATATTTAAGGTGTATTGAACTTATTTTGTGTTAATATTAAAATCATTCAGCTTTAAATTGTTTGCTTGTTAGCCACCTTCTAATTATCTTTAGCTAGCCAGCTAGCGCTAGATTATTAATGCCATGTAATCCTCCCTATAACATATTGATAACCTGTCATCATCCTTAGCTAGCGCTAGCATATTAATATCATGTCATTCTCTTTAGCTAGCTAGCTAGAGCTAGCACACATAAACACATTAACCAAAGGTAGCACTTAGCTATGTGCTAATCGCTAGCTAAGACCTAATTGCTAGCTACGTGCGAATCGCTTGCTAACCGCTAATCGCTAGCTAAGCGCTAATCGCTAGCTAACTGCTAATGGCTAGCTGTGCGCTAATCGCTAGCTGTGCGCTAATCGCTAGCTTAGCGCTAATCGCTAGTGCGCTAATAGCTAGCTAAGTGCTAGCTTTGGTTAATGTGTTTAATTGTATTATGCTCCTGAAGGAGTGCTAATGTAAATTAAGGAACAGCTCATAGTAGGGTAAAATATTTAAGGTGTATTGTTCTTATTTTGAGTTAATATTAAAATCATTCAGCTTTAAATTGTTTGCTTGTTAGCCACCTGCTAATTATCTTTAGCTATCCAGCTAGCGCTAGCTTATTAATGTCTTGTCATTCTCTGTAGCTAGCTGTGTGTGTGTGTGTGTGTGTGTGTGTGTGTGTGTGAGCAGGCTTTGGTTGTCATGGCAATCAGGGGAGCCCACAGCAGCTGCGCACGCTCTCTCTCTGTCTCTAACTCCTCAGAGAGACAGAAAACATTTAAAATGAATCCCCTCAAAAGCATGGACAGGAACGGCCGAAATGAAAACCGAAAAGACCGTGAGCGTCGTCATCTTGTTGACTATAGCGCTGCCGAGTTTCAGTGGCTAAAGTTAAAAAATGTGACCTGGGGGAGATTGAGAGAGAAGAGGTTCAACGAGCGTTTTTCAAGAATCCTCCTCTCCATTTTAACATGGGAGTAGATGGGGCCGTGAGAGGGCGTTGCTGGCGCATCAGTGCGTCTCCCGCCAAAACTATTTGTCTGACAGCTTCAGCAGTAGTATCACTGCGACCCCAACGGATTTACCTACGTTTCTATCTATAAATTATTTCTGTAGAGTGAAATTTGTGGCCATGACAGCAGTTTACAAATTTATTTTTCGACAAATTTTTCTCTCTCCCCACACTCTAGCGATGATGTCACGCACTCTGGCAGTTTTTTTCAGTTGGAGGTTCTCGCAATACACACCCATTCATTTTTTGGACCGGTTTTTGGCGATTTATCGGCGAACCGTTTGGCGAAATTCTTAGAAAAGTCATAGCACTAATGTCCTCAACGAGCCGCACGTTCTGATACCTTTTTTGTGTACGTGCGATCAAAGCTCTGGGAGAAGAAAAGAAGCGCGCCAGGCGAAAAAGCGTACGGAAGAATAAAATATTATAACTAGAAAATTCCTAAAGCAATTTTGATTGTGCCTTGCTCTGGGCCCATATAGGGTATAAAGTAACTTATTTTATATTTTATTTTTTTTTTCTTTACATGTCATTCTCTTTAGCTAGCTAGCTAACCGCTAGCTTAACACGTGCTAATCGCTAGCTACTGCGCTAATCGCTAGCTAAGTGCTAACCGATAATTGGTAGCTAAGTGCTAGCTGTGGTTAATGTGTTTAATTGTATTATGCTCCTGAAGGAGTGCTAATGTAAATTAAGGAACAGCTCATAGTAGGGTAAAATATTTAAGGTGTATTGTTCTTATTTTGTGTTAATATTAAAATCATTCAGCTTTAAATTGTTTGTTTGTTAGCCACCTGCTAATTACCTTTAGCTAACCAGCTAGCGCTAGCTTATTAATGTCTTGTCATTCTCTGTAGCTAGCTGTGTGTGTGTGTGTGTGTGTGTGTGAGCAGGCTTTGGTTGTCATGGCAATCAGGGGAGCCCACAGCAGCTGCGCACGCTCTCTCTCTGTCTCTAACTCCTCAGAGAGACAGAAACATTTAAAATGAATCCCCTCAAAAGCATGGCCAGGAACGACCGAAATGAAAACCGAAAAGACCGTGAGCGTCGTCATCTTGTTGACTATAGCAGTGCCGAGTTTCAGTGGCTAAAGTTAAAAAATGTGACCTGGGGAGATTGAGAGAGAAGAGGTTCAACGAGCGTTTTTCAAGATTTGTCCTCTAAAATTAACATGGGAGTAGATGGGGCCGTGAGAGGGTGTTGCTGGCGCATCAGTGCGTCTCCCGCCAAAACTATTTGTCTGACAGCTTCAGCAGTGGTATCACTGCGACCCCAACGAATTTACCTACGTTTCTATCTATAAATTATTTCTGTAGAGTGAAATTTGTGGCCATGACAGCAGTTTACAAATTTATTTTTCAACAAATTTTTCCCTTCTCCCCACACTCTAGCGATGATGTCACGCACTCTGGCAGTTTTTTTCAGTTGGAGGTTCTCGCAATACACACCCATTCATTTTTTGGACCGGTTTTTGGCGATTTATCGGCAAACCGTTTGGCGAAATTCTTAGAAAAGTCATAGCACTCGATTCCCGGCCGAGCCGCACGTTTTGATACCTTTTTTGTGTATGTGCGACAAAAGCTGCGGGAGAAGAAGCGCGCCCGAAAAAACGTACGGAAGAAGAATAATAATAAGCCCGAGGAAGAGTAGTATTGTGCTTGCTTATGCAAGGCACAATAACTAGAAAATTCCTAAAGCAATTTTGATTGTGCCTTGCTCTGGCCCATATGTTAATACCATGTCTACGTGCTAACCGCTATATCCGCTAGCTGTGCGCTAATCTCTAGCTAAGCGCTAACCCTATCGCTAGCTAAGTGCTAGCTTTGGTTAATGTGTTTAATTGTATTATGCTCCTAAGGCTAATTAAATTAAGAAGAATATTAAGGTTATTTTTAATATTAATTAGCTTTTACAATATCTTAGCTAGCCAGCTAGCGCTAGATTGCCAGTATTTTATTTTTTTTTTTTTTTTTTTTTTTTTTTTTTTAACTAAAAAAAAAAAAAAAAATAATAAAAAAAATTTTTTTTTTTTTATTTATTACTTATTAAAAAATTATTTTTTAGTTGGTAGGAATTAACTCTTAACCACTATTATTAGATATTCTATATTATTTATGGTGGGTGTGCGTTAATCGCAAGCTTAGCTTACGCGCCGGCGCTAATAGCTAGCTAAGGCTACTCTGGTTAATGTGTTTAATTGTATTATGCTCCTGAAGAAGTGCTAATGTAAATTAAGGAACAGCTCATAGTAGGGTAAAATATTTAAGGTGTATTGTTCTTATTTTGTGTTAATATTAAAATCATTCAGCTTTAAATTGTTTGTTTGTTAGCCACCTGCTAATTATCTTTAGCTAGCCAGCTAGCGCTAGCTTATTAATGCCTTGTCATTCTCTGTAGCTAGCTGTGTGTGTGTGTGTGTGTGTGTGTGTGTGAGCAGGCTTTGGTTGTCATGGCAATCAGGGGAGCCCACAGCAGCTGCGCACGCTCTCTCTCTGTCTCTAACTCCTCAGAGAGACAGAAAACAATTAAAATGAATCCCCTCGAACCCATGGCCAGGAACGACCAAAATGAAAACCGAAAACACCGTGAGCGTCGTCATCTTGTTGACTATAGCACTGCCGAGTTTCAGTGGCTAAAGTTAAAAAATGTGACCTGGAGAGATTGAGAGAGAAGAGGTTCAACGAGCGTTTTTCAGGATTCCTCCTCTAAAATTAACATGGGAGTAGATGGGGCCGTGAGAGGGCGTTGCTGGCGCATCAGTGCGTTTCCCGCCAAAACTATTTGTCTGACAGCTTCAGCAGTAGTATCACTGCGACCCCAACGAATTTACCTACGTTTCTATCTATAAATTATTTCTGTAGAGTGAAATTTGTGGCCATGACAGCAGTTTACAAATTTATTTTTCGACAAATTTTTCTCTCTCCCCACACTCTAGCGATGATGTCACGCACTCTGGCAGTTTTTTTCAGTTGAGGTTCTCGCAATACACACCCATTCATTTTTTTTTACCGGTTTTTGGCGATTTATCGGCAAACCGTTTGGCGAAATTCTTAGAAAAGTCATAGCACTAGATGTCCTCGGCCGAGCCGCACGTTTTGATACCTTTTTTGTGTATGTGCGACAAAAGCTCCGGGAGGAAGAAGCGCGCCGAAAAACGTACGGAAGAATAAATATTAAAAAAAAATAATATTTTTTCTTATCAAGGCACAAAACTAGAAAATTCCTAAAGCAATTTTGATTGTGCCTTGCTCTGGCCCATATGTTAATACCATGTCTACGTGCTAACCGCTAATCGCTAGCTGTGCGCTAATCGCTAGCTAAATCGCTAATTGCTAGCTAAGTGCTAGCTTTGGTTAATGTGTTTAATTGTATTTTGCTCCTGAAGGAGTGCTAATGTAAATTAAGGAACAGCTCATAGTAGGGTAAAATATTTAAGGTGTATTGTTCTTATTTTGTGTTAATATTAAAATCATTCAGCTTTAAATTGTTTGCTTGTTAGCCCCCTTCTAATTATCTTTAGCTAGCCAGCTAGCGCTAGATTATTAATGCCATGTAATCCTCCCTATAGCATATTGATAACCTGTCATCCTCCTTAGCTAGCGCTAGGATATTAATATCATGTCATTCTCTTTAGCTAGCTAGCTAGAGCTAGCACACATAAACACATAAACCAAAGCTAGCGCTTAGCTACGTGCTAATCGCTAGCTACATGCTAATCGCTAGCTACATGCTAATCGCTAGCTAAGTGCTAATCGCTAGCTAAGTGCTAGCTTTGGTTAATGTGTTTAATTGTATTATGCTCCCAAAGGAGTGCTAATGTAAATTAAGGAACAGCTCATAGTAGGGTAAAATATTTAAGGTGTATTGAACTTATTTTGTGTTAATATTAAAATCATTCAGCTTTAAATTGTTTGCTTGTTAGCCACCTGCTAATTATCTTTAGCTAGCCAGCTAGCTCTAGATTATTAATGCCATGTAATCCTCCCTATAGCATATTGATAACCTGTCATCCTCCTTAGCTAGCGCTAGCATATTAATATCATGTCATTCTCTTTAGCTAGCTAGCTAGAGCTAGCACACATAAACACATAAACCAAAGCTAGCGCTTAGCTACGTGCTAGCTACAATCCTAGCTACGTGCTAATCGCTAGCAACCGCTAGCTACATGCTAATCGCTAGCTGACGCTAATCGCTAGCTAAGTGCTAGCTTTGGTTAATGTGTTTAATTGTATTATGCTCCTGAAGGAGTGCTAAAGTAAATTAAGGAACAGCTCAGAGTAGGGTAAAATATTTAAGGTGTATTGAACTTATTTTGTATTAATATTAAAATCATTCAGCTTTAAATTGTTTGCTATTTAGCCGCCTGCTAATTATCTTTAGCTAGCCAGCTAGCGCTAGCTTATTAATGTCTTGTCATTCTCTGTAGCTAGCTGTGTGTGTGTGTGTGTGTGTGTGTGTGTGAGCAGGCTTCGGTTGTCATGGCAATCAGGGGAGCCCACAGCAGCTGCGCGCACTCTCTCTGTCTCTAACTCCTCAGAGAGACAGAAAACAATTAAAACGAATCCCCTCAAAAGCATGGCCAGGAACGACCGAAATGAAAACCGAAAACACCGTGGGCGTCGTCATCTTGTTGACTATAGCGCTGCCAAGTTTTAGTGGTTTAAGTTAAAAAATGTGACCTGGGGAGATTGAGAGAGAAGAGGTTCAACGAGCGTCTTTCAAGATTTGTCATCTAAAATTAACATGGGAGTAGATGGGGCCGTGAGAGGGCATTGCTGGCGCATCAGTGCGTCTCCCGCCAAAACTATTTGTCTGACAGCTTCAACAGTGGTATCACTGCGACCCCAACGAATTTACCTACGTTTCTATCTATAAATTATTTCTGTAGAGTGAAATTTGTGGCCATGACAGCAGTTTACAAATTTATTTTTCGACAAATTTTTCTCTCTCCCCACACTCTAGCGATGATGTCACGCACTCTGGCAGTTTTTTTCAGTTGGAGGTTCTCGCAATACACACCCATTCATTTTTTGGACCGGTTTTTGGCGATTTATCGGCAAACCGTTTGGCGAAATTCTTAGAAAAGTCATAGCACTAGATGTCCTCGGCCGAGCCGCACGTTTTGATACCTTTTTTGTGTATGTGCGACAAAAGCTCCGGGAGGAGAAGCGCGCCGAAAAACGTACGGAAGAATAATATTAATAAGCCCGAGGGATATATTTTTTTTTTTTTCTTATGCAAGGCACAATAACTAGAAAATTCCTAAAGCAATTTTGATTGTGCCTTGCTCTGGCCCGTGACACTGGCCCATACATTACTGACACTGCCGAGTAGTTTACAGTACAATGAGGGGAGACACCTGTGTTTAATTTGGCGTCCGCGTGATCCACTAACAACCACGTATTTTAATGACAAATCTTGTTTTTTCCATCTATTGCCACGGTCTTCTCCCACTGAAATAGTGAGGCTGGTAACGAGTTGATGCGACAAAGTCGGCCAAAAAGTTGGTATTTATGTATTATATTGATGCCGAATTAACAAGAAGACTGTTGAGATATGATGAGTTTTCTCTTGTGTTTCTACAGTTATGTGCTTTTATGTAAGCGCAAATAATTGTTAATATATGGTATTTCTTAAATGGAGTTTGGCATAATATTGTCCTGGGATAATGCAGGAAGGGTCATGGTTTAATTAAAATTGCTAAAGTAACTAAATAAGTAATAACCACAATGGTGGGAATAATAAGTATGTAGTTATAATAATAATAATGATAATAATAGTAATAATAATAACAACAATAATAAGTAATGCTATCAATAATATGAATAACAATATTTATATTAATAAATAATACATAATTAAGAAAGAAAACTATTCTTACTGTGCAGTCATAGGCAGTTACAACAGTCTGAGTGTCTTCTTCCTCACAAAATAAATCTAACTTGATGTTTTATTACATTACTAAATCTGTATTACTTGTGTCAGGTGTAACAAGTTGAAATAGATGGCTAAATAAGAATTTCAGTGTCTTTTGTGACGTTTAATTAGCACAGTAATCCTTTGTCCTCTCTAGCTAGCGAGTGCTAGCACATTCATACCTTGTTCTGTGTAGCTAGCTGGCGCTAGAACATTAGTAGCTTGTCCTCTCTAGCAAGCTAAGCATATTAATTAATTAGCTAGCCTTCTAATACCTTCTTCTACCTACTGATTCTCTTTAGCTAGCTAGAGCTAGCACACATAAACACAGTAACCAAAGCTAGCGCTAGCTGCGTGCTAATCGCTAGCTAGCGCTAAGCGCTAATCGCTAGCTAAGTGCTAGCTTTGGTTAATGTGTTTAATTGTATTATGCTCCTGAAGGAGTGCTAATGTAAATTAAGTAACAGCTCATAATAGGGTAAAATATTTAAGGTGTATTGTTCTTATTTTGTGTTAATATTAAAATAATTCAGCTTTAAATTGTTTGTTTGTTAGCCACCTGCTAATTATCTTTAGCTAGCCAGCTAGCGTTAGATTATTAATGCCATGTAATCCTCCCTATACCATATTGATAACCTGTCATCCTCCTTAGCTAGCGCTAGCATATTATTACCATGTCATTCTCTTTAGCTAGCTAGCTAGAGCTAGCACATATAAACACATAAACCAAAGCTAGCGCTTAGCTACGTGCTAATCGCTAGCTAACCGCTAATCGCTAGCTAACTGCTAATCGCTACATACATGCTAATGGCTAGCTAAGCGCTAATTGCTAGCTAAGTGCTAACCGATAATTGCTAGCTAAGTGCTAGCTTTGGTTAATGTGTTTAATTGTATTATGCTCCTGAAGGAGTGCTAATGTAAATTAAGGAACAGCTCATAGTAGGGTAAAATATTTAAGGTGTATTGTTCTTATTTTGTGTTAATATTAAAATCATTCAGCTTTAAATTGTTTGCTTGTTAGCCACCTGCTAATTATCTTTAGCTAGCCAGCTAGCGCTAGCTTATTAATGTCTTGTCATTCTCTGTAGCTAGCTGTGTGTGTGTGTGTGTGTGTGTGTGTGTGTGTGTGTGTGTGTGTGAGCAGGCTTTGGTTGTCATGGCAATCAGGGGAGCCCACAGCAGCTGCGCACGCTCTCTCTCTGTCTCTAACTCCTCAGACAGACAGAAAACATTTAAAATGAATCCCCTCAAAAGCATGGCCAGGAACGACCGAAATGAAAACCGAAAACACCGTGGGCGTCGTCATCTTGTTGACTATAGCACTGCCGAGTTTCAGTGGCTAAAGTTAAAAAATGTGACCTGGGGAGATTGAGAGAGAAGAGGTTCAACGAGCTCCTTTCAAGATTTGTCCTCTAAAATTAACATGGGAGTAGATGGGGCTGTGAGAGGGAGTTGCTGGCGCATCAGTGCATTTCCCGCCAAAACTATTTGTCTGACAGCTTCAGCAGTAGTATCACTGCGACCCCAACGAATTTACCTACGTTTCTATCTATAAATTATTTCTGTAGAGTGAAATTTGTGGCCGTGACAGCAGTTTACAAATTTATTTTTCCACCAATTTTTCTCTCTCCCCACACTCTAGCGATGATGTCACGCACTCTGGCAGTTTTTTTCAGTTGGAGGTTCTCGCAATACACACCCATTCATTTTTTGGACCGGTTTTCGGCGATTTATCGGCAAACCGTTTGGCGGAATTCTTAGAAAAGTCATAGCACTCGATTCCCGGCCGAGCCGCACGTTTTGATACCTTTTTTGTGTATGTGCGACAAAAGCTGCGGGAGGAGTAGCGCGCCGAAAAAACGTACGGAAGAATAATAATAAGTTTAATAAGCCCGAGGAAGAGTAGTATTGTGCTTGCTTATGCAAGGCACAATAACTAGAAAATTCCTAAAGCAATTTTGATTGTGCCTTGCTCTGGCCCATATGTTAATACCATGTCTACGTGCTAACCGCTAGCTCTGCGCTAATCGCTAGCTCTGCGCTAATGGCTAGCTCTGCGCTAATCGCTAGCTAAGTGCTAACCGCTAATCGCTAGCTAAGTGCTAGCTTTGGTTAATGTGTTTAATTGTATTTTGCTCCTGAAGGAGTGCTAATGTAAATTAAGGAACAGCTCATAGTAGGGTAAAATATTTAAGGTGTATTGTTCTTATTTTGTGTTAATATTAAAATCATTCAGCTTTAAATTGTTTGCTTGTTAGCCACCTGCTAATTATCTTTAGCTAGCCAGCTAGCGCTAGATTATTAATGCCATGTAATCCTCCCTATAGCATATTGATAACCTGTCATCCTCCTTAGCTAGCGCTAGCATATTAATATCATGTCATTCTCTTTAGCTAGCTAGCTAGAGCTAGCACACATAAACACATAAACCAAAGCTAGCGCTTAGCTACGTGCTAATCGCTAGCTAACCGCTAATCGCTAGCTAAGTGCTAGCTTTGGTTAATGTGTTTAATTGTATTATGCTCCTGAAGGAGTGCTAAAGTAAATTAAGGAACAGCTCAGAGTAGGGTAAAATATTTAAGGTGTATTGAACTTATTTTGTATTAATATTAAAATCATTCAGCTTTAAATTGTTTGCTTGTTAGCCGCCTGCTAATTATCTTTAGCTAGCCAGCTAGCGCTAGCTTATTAATGTCTTGTCATTCTCTGTAGCTAGCTGTGTGTGTGTGTGTGTGTGTGTGTGTGTGTGTGAGCAGGCTTTGGTTGTCATGGCAATCAGGGGAGCCCACAGCAGCTGCGCACGCTCTCTCTGTCTCTAACTCCTCAGAGAGACAGAAAACAATTAAAACGAATCCCCTCAAAAGCATGGCCAGGAACGACCGAAATGAAAACCGAAAACACCGTGGGCGTCGTCATCTTGTTGACTATAGCGCTGCCAAGTTTTAGTGGTTTAAGTTAAAAAATGTGACCTGGGGAGATTGAGAGAGAAGAGGTTCAACGAGCGTTTTTCAAGATTTGTCATCTAAAATTAACATGGGAGTAGATGGGGCCGTGAGACGGCGTTGCTGGCGCATCAGTGCGTCTCCCGCCAAAACTATTTGTCTGACAGCTTCAACAGTGGTATCACTGCGACCCCAACGAATTTACCTACGTTTCTATCTATAAATTATTTCTGTAGAGTGAAATTTGTAGCCATGACAGCAGTTTACAAATTTATTTTTCGACAAATTTTTCTCTCTCCCCCACACTCTAGCGATGATGTCACGCACTCTGGCAGTTTTTTTCAGTTGGAGGTTCTCGCAATACACACCCATTCATTTTTTGGACCGGTTTTTGGCGATTTATCGGCGAACCGTTTGGCGAAATTCTTAGAAAAGTCATAGCACTCGATTCCCGGCCGAGCCGCACGTTTTGATACCTTTTTTGTGTATGTGCGACAAAAGCTGCGGGAGGAGTAGCGCGCCAAAACGTACGGAAGAATAATAAGTTTAACTAGAAAATTCCTAAAGCAATTTTGATTGTGCCTTGCTCTGGCCCATATGTTAATACCATGTCTACGTGCTAACCGCTATACGCTAGCTGTGCGCTAATTACCTTTTATTAATGCCATGTAATCCTCCCTATAGCATATTGATAACCTGTCATCCTCCTTAGCTAGCGCTAGCATATTATTATCATGTCATTCTCTTTAGCTAGCTAGCTAGAGCTAGCACACATAAACACATAAACCAAAGCTAGCGCTTAGCTACGTGCTAATCGCTAGCTAACTGCTAATCGCTAGCTACGTGCTAATCGCTAGCTAACCGCTAATCGCCAGCTACATGCTAATCGCTAGCTACATGCTAATCGCTAGCTAAGCGCTAATCGCTAGCTAAGTGCTAGCTGTGGTTAATGTGTTTAATTGTATTATGCTCCTGAAGGAGTGCTAATGTAAATTAAGGAAAAGCTCATAGTAGGGTAAAATATTTAAGGTGTATTGAACTTATTTTGTGTTAATATTAAAATCATTCAGCTTTAAATTGTTTGCTTGTTAGCCACCTGCTAATTATCTTTAGCTAGCCAGCTAGCCAGCTAGCGCTAGCTTATTAATGTCTTGTCATTCTCTGTAGCTAGCTGTGTGTGTGTGTGTGTGTGTGTGTGTGTGTGTGTGAGAGGCAGGCTTTGGTTGTCATGGCAATCAGGGGAGCCCACAGCAGCTGCGCACGCTCTCTCTCTGTCTCTAACTCCTCAGAGAGACAGAAACATTTAAAATGAATCCCCTCAAAAGCATGGCCAGGAACGACCGAAATGAAAACCGAAAAGACCGTGAGCGTCGTCATCTTGTTGACTATAGCACTGCCGAGTTTCAGTGGTTAAAGTTAAAAAATGTGACCTGGGGAGATTGAGAGAGAAGAGGTTCAACAAGCGTTTTTCAAGATTCGTCCTCTAAAATTAACATGGGAGTAGATGGGGCCATGAGAGGGAGTTGCTGGCGCATCAGTGCGTCTCCCGCCAAAACTATTTGTCTGACAGCTTCAGCAGTAGTATCACTGCGACCCCAACGAATTTACCTACGTTTCTATCTATAAATTATTTCGGTAGAGTGAAATTTGTGGCCATGACAGCAGTTTACAAATTTATTTTTCGACAAATTTTTCTCTCTCCCCACACTCTAGCGATGATGTCACGCACTCTGGCAGTTTTTTTCAGTTGGAGGTTCTCGCAATACACACCCATTCATTTTTTGGACCGGTTTTTGGCGATTTATCGGCAAACCGTTTGGCGAAATTCTTAGAAAAGTCATAGCACTAATGTCCTCATCGAGCCGCACGTTTTGATACCTTTTTTGTGTATGTGCGACAAAAGCTGCGGGAGAAGAAGCGCGCCGAAAAAGCGTACGGAAGAATAATAATAAGTTTAATAATAAGCACGAGGAAGAGTAGTATTGTGCTTGCTTATGCAAGGCACAATAACTAGAAAATTCCTAAAGCAATTTTGATTGTGCCTTGCTCTGGCCCATATGTTAATACCATGTCTACGTGCTAACCGCTAAATCGCTAGCTAGTGCAAGCTAATCGCTAGCTAAGTGCTAACCGCTAATCGCTAGCTAAGTGCTAGCTTTGGTTAATGTGTTTAATTGTATTATGCTCCTGAAGGAGTGCTAATGTAAATTAAGGAACAGCTCATAGTAGGGTAAAATATTTAAGGTGTATTGTTCTTATTTTGTGTTAATATTAAAATCATTCAGCTTTAAATTGTTTGTTTGTTAGCCACCTTCTAATTATCTTTAGCTAGCCAGCTAGCGCTAGATTATTAATGCCATGTAATCCTCCCTATAGCATATTGATAACCTGTCATCCTCCTTAGCTAGCGCTAGCATATTAATATCATGTCATTCTCTTTAGCTAGCTAGCTAGAGCTAGCACACATAAACACATTAACCAAAGGTAGCACTTAGCTATGTGCTAATCGCTAGCTAAGCGCTAATTGCTAGCTACGTGCTAATCGCTTGCTAACCGCTAATCGCTAGCTAATAATCGCTAGCTAACAATGCTAATCGCTAGCTGTGCGCTAATCGCTAGCTTAGCGCTAATCGCTAAACTAAGTGCTAGCTTCTGGTTAATGTGTTTAATTGTATTATGCTCCTGAAGGAGAGCTAATGTAAATTAAGGAACAGCTCATAGTAGGGTAAAATATTTAAGGTGTATTGTTCTTATTTTGTGTTAATATTAAAATCATTCAGCTTTAAATTGTTTGCTTGTTAGCCACCTTCTAATTATCTTTAGCTAGCCAGCTAGCGCTAGCTTATTAATGTCTTGTCATTCTCTGTAGCTAGCTGTGTGTGTGTGTGTGTGTGTGTGTGTGTGTGAGCAGGCTTTGGTTGTCATGGCAATCAGGGGAGCCCACAGCAGCTGCGCGCACGCTCTCTCTCTGTCTCTAACTCTTCAGAGAGACAGAAAACAATTAAAACGAATCCCCTCAAAAGCATGGCCAGGAAGGACCGAAATGAAAACCGAAAACACCGTGGGCGTCGTCATCTTGTTGACTATAGCGTTGCCGAGTTTCAGTGGCTAAAGTTAAAAAATGTGACCTGGGGAGATTGAGAGAGAAGAGGTTCAACGAGCATTTTTCAGGATTCCTCCTCTAAAATTAACATGGGAGTAGATGGGGCCGTGAGAGGGCGTTGCTGGCGCATCAGTGCGTTTCCCGCCAAAACTATTTGTCTGAAAGCTTCAGCAGTAGTATCACTGCGACCCCAACGGATTTACCTACGTTTCTATCTATAAATTATTTCTGTAGAGTGAAATTTGTGGCCATGACAGCAGTTTACAAATTTATTTTTCGACAAATTTTTCCCTCTCCCCACACTCTAGCGATGATGTCACGCACTCTGGCAGTTTTTTTCAGTTGGAGGTTCTCGCAATACACACCCATTCATTTTTTGGACCGGTTTTTGGCGATTTATCGGCAAACCGTTTGGCGAAATTCTTAGAAAAGTCATAGCACTAATGTCCTCAACGAGCCGCACGTTCTGATACCTTTTTGTGTACGTGCGATCAAAAGCTCTGGGAGAAGAAGCGCGCCGAAAAAGCACGTACGGAAGAATAAAATATTATAACTAGAAAATTCCTAAAGCAATTTTGATTGTGCCTTGCTCTGGCCCATATGTTAATACCATGTCTACGTGCTAACCGCTATTTTTTTTAAAAAACTACAGCTAACCGCTAATCGCTAGCTACGTGCTAATCCTGCCTAATCGCTAGCTAAGTGCTAACCGATAATTGGTAGCTAAGTGCTAGCTGTGGTTAATGTGTTTAATTGTATTATGCTCCTGAAGGAGAGCTAATGTAAATTAAGGAACAGCTCATAGTAGGGTAAAATATTTAAGGTGTATTGTTCTTATTTTGTGTTAATATTAAAATCATTCAGCTTTAAATTGTTTGTTTGTTAGCCACCTGCTAATTACCTTTAGCTAACCAGCTAGCGCTAGCTTATTAATGTCTTGTCATTCTCTGTAGCTAGCTGTGTGTGTGTGTGTGTGTGTGTGTGTGTGTGGCAGGCTTTGGTTGTCATGGCAATCAGGGGAGCCCACAGCAGCTGCGCACGCTCTCTCTCTGTCTCTAACTCCTCAGAGAGACAGAAACATTTAAAATGAATCCCCTCAAAAGCATGGCCAGGAACGACCGAAATGAAAACCGAAAAGACCGTGAGCGTCGTCATCTTGTTGACTATAGCAGTGCCGAGTTTCAGTGGCTAAAGTTAAAAAATGTGACCTGGGGAGATTGAGAGAGAAGAGGTTCAACGAGCGTTTTTCAAGATTTGTCCTCTAAAATTAACATGGGAGTAGATGGGGCCGTGAGAGGGTGTTGCTGGCGCATCAGTGCGTCTCCCGCCAAAACTATTTGTCTGACAGCTTCAGCAGTGGTATCACTGCGACCCCAACGAATTTACCTACGTTTCTATCTATAAATTATTTCTGTAGAGTGAAATTTGTGGCCATGACAGCAGTTTACAAATTTATTTTTCAACAAATTTTTCCCTTCTCCCCACACTCTAGCGATGATGTCACGCACTCTGGCAGTTTTTTTCAGTTGGAGGTTCTCGCAATACACACCCATTCATTTTTTTGACCGGTTTTTGGCGATTTATCGGCAAACCGTTTGGCGAAATTCTTAGAAAAGTCATAGCACTCGATTCCCGGCCGAGCCGCACGTTTTGATACCTTTTTTGTGTATGTGCGACAAAAGCTGCGGGAGAAGAAGCGCGCCGAAAAACGTACGGAAGAAGAATAATAATAAGCCCGAGGAAGAGTAGTATTGTGCTTGCTTATGCAAGGCACAATAATAAGTATGGGGAATAATAGTATTGTGCTTGCTTATGCAAGGCACAATAACTAGAAAATTCCTAAAGCAATTTTGATTGTGCCTTGCTCTGGCCCATATGTTAATACCATGTCTACGTGCTAACCGCTAATCGCTAGCTGTGCGCTAATCGCTAGCTAAGTGCTAACCGCTAGTTGCTAGCCAAGTGCTAGCTTTGGTTAATGTGTTTAATTGTATTATGCTCCTGAAGGAGTGCTAATGTAAATTAAGGAACAGCTCATAGTAGGGTAAAATATTTAAGGTGTATTGTTCTTATTTTGTGTTAATATTAAAATCATTCAGCTTTAAATTGTTTGCTTGTTAGCCACCTGCTAATTATCTTTAGCTAGCCAGCTAGCGCTAGCTTATTAATGCTTGTCATTCTCTGTAGCTAGCTGTGTGTGTGTGTGTGTGTGTGTGTGTGTGTGTGTGTGTGTGTGTGTGAGCAGGCTTTGGTTGTCATGGCAATCAGGGGAGCCCACAGCAGGTGCGCACGCTCTCTCTCTGTCTCTAACTCCTCAGAGAGACAGAAAACATTTAAAATGAATCCCCTAAAAAGCATGGCCAGGAACGACCAAAATGAAATCCGAAAAGACCGTGAGCGTCGTCATCTTGTTGACTATAGCACTGCCGAGTTTCAGTGGCTAAAGTTAAAAAATGTGACCTGCACAGATTGAGAGAGAAGAGTTTCAACGAGCTCCTTTAAACATTCCTCCTCTAAAATTAACATGGGAGTAGATGGGGCCGTGAGAGGGAGTTGCTGGCGCATCAGTGCGTCTCCCGCCAAAACTATTTGTCTGACAGCTTCAGCAGTAGTATCACTGCGACCCCAACGAATTTACCTACGTTTCTATCTATAAATTATTTCGGTAGAGTGAAATTTGTGGCCATGACAGCAGTTTACAAATTTATTTTTCGACAAATTTTTCTCTCTCCCCACACTCTAGCGATGATGTCACGCACTCTGGCGGTTTTTTTCAGTTGGAGGTTCTCGCAATACACACCCATTCATTTTTTGGACCGGTTTTCGGCGATTTACCGGCAAACCGTTTGGCGGAATTCTTAGAAAAGTCATAGCACTCGATTCCCGGCCGAGCCGCACGTTTTGATACCTTTTTTGTGTATGTGCGACAAAAGCTCCGGGAGGAGTAGCGCGCCGAAAAACGTACGGAAGAATAATAAGAAAACTAGAAAATTCCTAAAGCAATTTTGATTGTGCCTTGCTCTGGCCCATATGTTAATACCATGTCTAGCCATGTCTTGCTCTCTAGCACGCTAGCGCTAGCATATTAATACCATGTAATTCTCTTTAGCTAGAGCTAGCACACATAAACACATTAACCAAAGGTAGCGCTTAGCTACGTGCTAAGCGCTAGCTAAGCGCTAATCGCTAGCTACGTGCTAATCGCTAGCTAAGTGCTAGCTTTGGTTAATGTGTTTAATTGTATAATGCTCCTGAAGGAGTGCTAATGTAAATGAAGGAACAGCTCATAGTAGGGTAAAATATTTAAGGTGTATTAAACTTACTTTGTGTTAATATTAAAATCATTCAGCCTTAAATTGTTTGCTTGTTAGCCGCCTGCTAATTATCTTTAGCTAGCCTGCTAGCGCTAGATTATTAATGCCATGTAATCCTCCCTATAGCATATTGATAACCTGTCATCCTCCTTAGCTAGCGCTAGCATATTAATATCATGTCATTCTCTTTAGTTAGCTAGCTAGAGCTAGCACACATAAACACATAAACCAAAGCTAGCGCTTAGCTACGTGCTAATCGCTAGCTAACCGCTAATCGCTAGCTAACCGCTAATCGCTAGCTAACCGCTAATCGCTAGCTACATGCTAATCGCTAGCTAAGCGCTAATCGCTAGCTAAGTGCTAGCTGTGGTTAATGTGTTTAATTGTATTATTCTCCTGAAGGAGTGCTAATGTAAATTAAGGAACAGCTCATAGTAGGGTAAAATATTTAAGGTGTATTGTTCTTATTTTGTGTTAATATTAAAATCATTCAGCTTTAAATTGTTTGTTTGTTAGCCACCTTCTAATTATCTTTAGCTAGCCAGCTAGCGCTAGCTTATTAATGTCTTGTCATTCTCTGTAGCTAGCTGTGTGTGTGTGTGTGTGTGTGAGAGCAGGCTTTGGTTGTCATGGCAATCAGGGGAGCCCACAGCAGCTGCGCACGCTCTCTCTCTGTCTCTAACTCCTCAGAGAGACAGAAAACATTTAAAATGAATCCCCTCAAAAGCATGGCCAGGAACGACCGAAATGAAAACCGAAAAGACCGTGAGCGTCGTCATCTTGTTGACTATAGCGCTGCCGAGTTTCAGTGGTTAAAGTTAAAAAATGTGACCTGGGGAGATTGAGAGAGAAGAGGTTCAACGAGCGTTTTTCAAGAATCCTCCTCTCCATTTTAACATGGGAGTAGATGGGGCCATGAGAGGGAGTTGCTGGCGCATCAGTGCGTCTCCCGCCAAAACTATTTGTCTGACAGCTTCAGCAGTAGTATCACTGCGACCCCAACGAATTTACCTACGTTTCTATCTATAAATTATTTCTGTACAGTGAAATTTGTGGCCATGACAGCAGTTTACAAATTTATTTTTCGACAAATTTTTCTCTCTCCCCACACTCTAGCGATGATGTCACGCACTCTGGCAGTTTTTTTCGGTTGGAGGTTCTCGCAATACACACCCATTCATTTTTTGGACCGGTTTTTGGCGATTTACCGGCGAACCGTTTGGCGAAATTCTTAGAAAAGTCATAGCACTCGATTCCCGGCCGAGCCGCACGTTTTGATACCTTTCTTGTGTACGTGCGACAAAAGCTCCGGGAGGAGTAGCGCGCCGAAAAACGTACGGAAGAATAATAATAACTAGAAAATTCCTAAAGAAATTTTGATTGTGCCTTGCTCTGGCCCATATGTTAATACCATGTCTACGTGCTAACCGCTATTTAACCGCTAATCGCTAGCTAACCGCTAATCGCTAGCTACATGCTAATCACTAGCTAAGCGCTAATCGCTAGCTAAGTGCTAGCTTTGGTTAATGTGTTTAATTGTATTATGCTCCTGAAGGAGTGCTAATGTAAATTAAGGAACAGCTCATAGTAGGGTAAAATATTTAAGGTGTATTGTTCTTATTTTGTGTTAATATTAAAATCATTCAGCTTTAAATTGTTTGCTTGTTAGCCACCTGCTAATTATCTTTAGCTAGTCAGCTAGCGCTAGATTATTAATGCCATGTAATCCTCCCTATAGCATATTGATAACCTGTCATCCTCCTTAGCTAGCGCTAGCATATTAATATCATGTCATTCTCTTTAGCTAGCTAGCTAGAGCTAGCACACATAAACACATAAACCAAAGGTAGCGCTTAGCTACGTGCTAATCGCTAGCTAACCGCTAATCGCTAGCTACATGCTAATCACTAGCTAACCGCTAATCGCTAGCTAAGTGCTAGCTGTGGTTAATGTGTTTAATTGTATTATGCTCCTGAAGGAGTGCTAATGTAAATTAAGGAACAGCTCATAGTAGGGTAAAATATTTAAGGTGTATTGAACTTATTTTGTGTTAATATTAAAATCATTCAGCTTTAAATTGTTTGCTTGTTAGCCACCTGCTAATTGTCCTTAGCTAGCCAGCTAGCGCTAGCTTATTAATGCCTTGTCATTCTCTGTAGCTAGCTGTGTGTGTGTGTGTGTGTGTGTGTGTGTGTGAGCAGGCTTTAGTTGTCATGGCAATCAGGGGAGCCCACAGCAGCTGCGCGCGCTCTCTCTCTGTCTCTAACTCTTGAGAGAGACAGAAAACAATTAAAACGAATCCCCTCAAAAGCATGGCCAGGAACGACCGAAATGAAAACCGAAAACACCGTGGGCGTCGTCATCTTGTTGACTATAGCGTTGCCGAGTTTCAGTGGCTAAAGTTAAAAAATGTGACCTGGGGAGATTGAGAGAGAAGAGGTTCAACGAGCGTTTTTCAGGATTCCTCCTCTAAAATTAACATGGGAGTAGATGGGGCCGTGAGAGGGCGTTGCTGGCGCATCAGTGCGTTTCCCGCCAAAACTATTTGTCTGAAAGCTTCAGCAGTAGTATCACTGCGACCCCAACGAATTTACCTACGTTTCTATCTATAAATTATTTCTGTAGAGTGAAATTTGTGGCCATGACAGCAGTTTACAAATTTATTTTTCGACAAATTTTTCTCTCTCCCCACACTCTAGCGATGATGTCACGCACTCTGGCGGTTTTTTTCAGTTGGAGGTTCTCGCAATACACACCCATTCATTTTTTGGACCGGTTTTTGGCGATTTACCGGCAAACCGTTTGGCGAAATTCTTAGAAAAGTCATAGCACACCATTCCCGGCCGAGCCGCACGTTTTGATACCTTATTTGTGTATGTGCGACAAAAGCTGCGGGAGAAGAAGCGCGCCGAAAAACGTACGGAAGAATAATAATAATAAGTATGGGGAAGAGTAGTATTGTGCTTGCTTATGCAAGGCACAATAACTAGAAAATTCCTAAAGCAATTTTGATTGTGCCTTGCTCTGGCCCATATGTTAATACCATGTCTACGTGCTAATCGCTAGCTCTGCGCTAATCGCTAGCTAAGTGCTAGCTTTGGTAAAGGTGTTTAATTGTATTATGCTCCTGAAGGAGTGCTAATGTAAATTAAGGAACAGCTCATAGTAGGGTAAAATATTTAAGGTGTATTGAACTTATTTTGTGTTAATATTAAAATCATTCAGCTTTAAATTGTTTGCTTGTTAGCCACCTGATAATTATCTTTAGCTAGCCAGCTAGCGCTAGCTTATTAATGCCATGTAATCCTCCCTATAGCATATTGATAACCTGTCATCCTCCTTAGCTAGCGCTAGCATATTAATATCATGTCATTCTCTTTAGCTAGCTAGCTAGAGCCAGCACACATAAACACATAAACCAAAGGTAGCGCTTAGCTACGTGCTAATCGCTAGCTAACTGCTAATCGCTAGCTAACTGCTTATCGCTACATACATGCTAATGGCTAGCTAAGCGCTAATCGCTAGCTAAGCGCTAATCGCTAGCTAAGTGCTAGCTTTGGTCAATGTGTTTAATTGTATTATGCTCCTGAAGGAGAGCTAATGTAAATTAAGGAACAGCTCATAGTAGGGTAAAATATTTAAGGGGTATTGAACTTATTTTGTGTTAATATTAAAATCATTCAGCTTTAAATTGTTTGCTTGTTAGCCACCTGCTAATTATCTTTAGCTAGCCAGCTAGCGCTAGTTTATTAATGCCATGTAATCCTCCCTATAGCATATTGATAACCTGTCATCCTCCTTAGCTAGCGCTAGCATATTGATAACCTGTCATCCTCCTTAGCTAGCTAGCTAAAAGCTAGCACACATAAACACATAAACCAAAGCAAGCGCTTAGCAACGTGCTAATCGCTAGCTAACCGCTAATCGCTAGCTAAGTGCTAACCGCTAATCGCTAGCTAAGTGCTAGCTTTGGTTAATGTGTTTAATTGTATTTTGCTCCTGAAGGAGTGCTAATGTAAATTAAGTAACAGCTCATAGTAGGGTAAAATATTTAAGGTGTATTGTTCTTATTTTGTGTTAATATTAAAATCATTCAGCTTTAAATTGTTTGTTTGTTAGCCGCTTGCTAATTATCTTTAGCTAGCTAGCGCTAGCTTATTAATGTCTTGTCATTCTCTGTAGCTAGCTGTGTGTGTGTGTGTGTGTGTGTGTGTGTGTGTAGCAGGCTTTGGTTGTCATGGCAATCAGGGGAGCCCACAGCAGCTGCGCACGCTCTCTCTCTCTGTCTCTAACTCCTCAGAGAGACAGAAAACAATTAAAATGAATCCCCTCGAACCCATGGCCAGGAACGACCGAAATGAAAACCGAAAAGACCGTGAGCGTCGTCATCTTGTTGACTATAGCACTGCCGAGTTTCAGTGGCTAAAGTTAAAAAATGTGACCTGGGTAGATTGAGAGAGAAGAGGTTCAACGAGCGTGTTTCAAGATTTGTCCTCTAAAATTAACATGGGAGTAGATGGGGCTGTGAGAGGGAGTTGCTGGCGCATCAGTGCGTTTCCCACCAAAACTATTTGTCTGACAGCTTCAGCAGTAGTATCACTGCGACCCCAACGAATTTACCTACGTTTCTATCTATAAATTATTTCTGTAGAGTGAAATTTGTGGCCGTGACAGCAGTTTACAAATTTATTTTTCCACAAATTTTTCTCTCTCCCCACACTCTAGCGATGATGTCACACACTCTGGCAGTTTTTTTCAGTTGGAGGTTCTCGCAATACACACCCATTCATTTTTTGGACCGGTTTTCGGCGATTTACCGGCAAACCGTTTGGCGGAATTCTTAGAAAAGTCATAGCACTCGATTCCCGGCCGAGCCGCACGTTTTGATACCTTTTTTGTGTACGTGCGACAAAAGCTGCGGGACAAGAAGCGCGCCGAAAAACGTACGGAAGAATAATAATAAGCACACGGCAGAGTAGTATTGTGCTTGCTTATGCAAGGCACAATAACTAGAAAATTCCTAAAGCAATTTTGATTGTGCCTTGCTCTGGCCCGTGACACTGGCCCATACATTACTGACACTGCCGAGTAGTTTACAGTACAATGAGGGGAGACACCCGTGTTTAATTCGGCGTCCGCGTGATCCACTAACAACCACGTATTTTAATGACAAATCTTGTTTTTTCCATCTATTGCCACGGTCTTCTCCCACTGAAATAGTGAGGCTGGTAACGAGTTGATGCGACAAAGTCGGCCAAAAAGTTGGTATTTATGTATTATATTGATGCCGAATTAACAAGAAGACTGTTGAGATATGATGAGTTTTTTCTTGTGTTTCTACAGTTATGTGCTTTTATGTAAGCGCAAATAATTGTTAATATATGGTATTTCTTAAATGGAGTTTGGCATAATATTGTCCTGGGATAATGCAGGAAGGGTCATGGTTTAATTAAAATTGCTAAAGTAACTAAATAAGTAATAACCACAATGGTGGGAATAATAAGTATGTAGTTATAATAATAATGATAATAATAGTAATAATAATAACAACAATAATAAGTAATGCTTTCAATAATATGAATAACAATATTTATATTAATAAATAATACATAATTAAGAAAGAAAACTATTCTTACTGTGCAGTCACAGGCAGTTACAACAGTCTGAGTTCTTCCTCACTAAATAAATCTAACTTGATGTTTTATCACATTACTGAATCTGTATTACTTGTGTCATGTGTAACAAGTTGAAATAGATGGCTAATTAAGAATTTCAGTGTCTTTTGTGACGTTTAATTAGCACAGTAATCCTTTGTCCTGTCTAGCTAGCGAGTGCTAGCACATTAGTAGCTTATCCTCTCTAGCAAGCAAAGCATATTAATTAATTAGCTAGCCTTCTAATACCTTCTTCTACCTTCTAATTCTCTTCAGCTAGCATTTTAATACCCTCTAATTGTCTTTAGGTAGCTAGCTAGAGCTAGCACACATAAACACATTAACCAAAGCTAGCGCTTAGCTACGTGCTAATCGCTAGCTAAGCGCTAATCACTAGCTGTGCGCTAATCGCTAGCTAAGCGCTAATCGCTAGCTAAGTGCTAGCTTTGGTTAATGTGTTTAATTGTATTATGCTCCTGAAGGAGTGCTAATGTAAATTAAGGAACAGCTCATAGTAGGGTAAAATATTTAAGGTGTATTGAACTTATTTTGTGTTAATATTAAAATCATTCAGCTTTAAATTGTTTGTTTGTTAGCCGCCTTCTAATTATCTTTAGCTAGCCAGCTAGCGCTAGCTTATTAATGCCATGTCATTCTCTGTAGCTAGCTGTGTGTGTGTGTGTGTGTGTGTGTGTGTGTGTGGCAGGCTTTGGTTGTCATGGCAATCAGGGGAGCCCACAGCAGCTGCAAGGTGCTCTCTCTCTGTCTCTAACTCCTCAGAGAGACAGAAACATTTAACCCTTGTATTATGTTAAGGGTCAATTTGACCCATTTCAGTTTTTGTGTTGATCAAAGTACTGGTTATCCTTTCTTTTTCTTGCTGAAATTTGGTGACTTTTCCTCATCTAGGGTCATTAACTGGTGTGTAAAATCTGGACACTTTGATGTGTAGTGGAATGTCTGTGCAGAGTTGGTATACAAAGATGATGTTGCGGGTCATTTTGACCCAGACGCTTTAATGTGGGTAAATAGCTGTTCAGATCCAAAATAAACATGTCTCTTTGATGTACTTTTTACTTTATATATATACAATATACAATTGTTTGTATTTTGATTGCCTCTGAGACCCAGAGCCAGGTGTGTGAAGAGAGGGAACTTTCTCACACTTGTCCTTGTCACTGTTCTCATGTCATCTCTTTGACAAACTCACCAAAAATGAGCTCCAGAAGGATGACAACTGAGGAGGCTTTATCACAGATTTTTAACTGGGATAGTGATGTAGAGGAAGAGATTTCAGAAACAGAGGATTTTTCAGAGACAGAGGACACTGTTATTGCTGATCCAGATTGTCAATTTTCCTACGATGAGGAGGATTCAGAGGACGAGTCTGCCGTTGTTCCTCCAACAGATGAAAACCAAGGAATGCAGCAATCATCATCCACAGAGGGGACATGGGCATCTAAGGACGGTAATATAAAATGGTCCAAAAATCACCACACCCAAGCCGAGGCAGACTATCATCTTCCAATGTGATCAAAATGACTCCCGGTCCTACAAGATTTGCTGTCACACGAGTTGATGAGATTCAATCAGCATTTCAGCTCTTCATATCCCCTCATATCTTAGCCCTTGTGCTTTCTTTGGTCAAGGAAGGAGGAAGGGAGGAAGGAAGGAAGGTAGGAAGGAAAGAAGGGAGAAAGGAAGGAAGGAAGGAAGAGAGAAAAGAAGGGGAATAGAGGAGGATGAACAGAGAGAAGGAAAACAGGATGAGAAGAAGGAAGGAGAGAGCATGGCAGGAGGAAAGAAGGAGGGAAGAATTGTCATTTTGACCCGAGAGGAGGACAAGAGGATTAGACTAAATATTTCTTAAATATGGTGTTGGAATTAAAAATGTATTGTATGTCACTTTTCTAAATGTTTATATAACCTAAAATAAAGTTGTTATTGGTTTAACCTGTTTTCTTGACTGTTTTGAGTGCATTTACACAGTACGGGTCAAAATGACCCGCAACATAATCAATGTCATTTTTTTTCAACATAATACAAGGGTTAAATTGAATCCCCTCGAACCCGTGGCCAGGAACGACCGAAATGAAAACCGAAAACACCGTGAGCGTTGTCATCTTGTTGACTATAGCACTGCCGAGTTTCAGTGGCTAAAGTTAAAAAATGTGACCTGGGGAGATTGAGAGAGAAGAGGTTCAACGAGCTCCTTTCAAGATTCCTCCTCTCCATTTTAACATGGGAGTAGATGGGGCCGTGAGAGGGCGTTGCTGGCGCATCAGTGCGTCTCCCGCCAAAATTCCTAAAGCAATTTTGATTGTGCCTTGCTCTGGCCCATATGTTAATACCATGTCTACGTGCTAACCGCTATTTAACCGCTAATCGCTAGCTCTGCGCTAATCGCTAGCTAAGTGCTAACCGATAATCACTAGCTAAGTGCTAGCTGTGGTTAATGTGTTTAATTGTATTATGCTCCTGAAGGAGTGCTAATGTAAATTAAGGAACAGCTCATAGTAGGGTAAAATATTTAAGGTGTATTGTTCTTATTTTGTGTTAATATTAAAATCATTCAGCTTTAAATTGTTTGCATGTTAGCCACCTGCTAATTATCTTTAGCTAGCCAGCTAGCGCTAGCTTATTAATGCCATGTAATCCTCCCTATAGCATATTGATAACCTGTCATCCTCCTTAGCTAGCTAGCTAAAGCTAGCACACATAAACACATAAACCAAAGCTAGCGCTTAGCAACGTGCTAATCGCTAGCTAACCGCTAATCGCTAGCTCTGCGCTAATCGCTAGCTAAGTGCTAACCGCTAATCGCTAGCTAAGTGCTAGCTTTGGTTAATGTGTTTAATTGTATTATGCTCCTGAAGGAGTGCTAATGTAAATTAAGGAACAGCTCATAGTAGGGTAAAATATTTAAGGTGTATTGTTCTTATTTTGTGTTAATATTAAAATCATTCAGCTTTAAATTGTTTGCTTGTTAGCCACCTGCTAATTATCTTTAGCTAGCCAGCTAGCGCTAGCTTATTAATGCCATGTAATCCTCCCTATAGCATATTGATAACCTGTCATCCTCCTTAGCTAGCTAGCTAAAGCTAGCACACATAAACACATAAACCAAAGCTAGCGCTTAGCAACGTGCTAATCGCTAGCTAACCGCTAATCGCTAGCTCTGCGCTAATCGCTAGCTAAGTGCTAACCGCTAATCGCTAGCTAAGTGCTAGCTTTGGTTAATGTGTTTAATTGTATTATGCTCCTGAAGGAGTGCTAATGTAAATTAAGGAACAGCTCATAGTAGGGTAAAATATTTAAGGTGTATTGAACTTATTTTGTGCTAATATTAAAATCATTCAGCTTTAAATTGTTTGTTTGTTTGCCGCCTTCTAATTATCTTTAGCTAGCCAGCTAGCGCTAGCTTAATAATGCCATGTAATCCTCCCTATAGCATATTGATAACCTGTCATCCTCCTTAGCTAGCGCTAGCATATTAATGCCATGTCATTCTCTTTAGCTAGAGCTAACACACATAAACACATTAACCAAAGGTAGCGCTTAGCTACGTGCTAATCGCTAGCTAAGCGCTAATCGCTAGCTACGTGCTAATCGCTAGCTAAGCGCTAATCGGTAGCTACGTGCTAATCGCTAGCTAAGTGCTAGCTTTGGTTAATGTGTTTAATTGTATTATTCTCCTGAAGGAGTGCTAATGTAAATTAAGGAACAGCTCATAGTAGGGTAAAATATTTAAGGTATAAGCATTTATATACCATGTCATCCTGTCTAGCCAGCTAGCTAGCGCTAGCATTTTAGTGCCTTCTAATTTTCTAGAGCTAGCACACATAAACACATTGACCAGAGCTCATAGTAGGGTAAAATATTTAAGGTGAATTGTTCTTATTTTGTGTTAATATTAAAATCATTCAGCTTTAAATTGTTTGCTTGTTAGCCACCTGCTAATTATCTTTAGCTAGCCAGCTAGCGCTAGCTTATTAATGCCTTGTCATTCTCTGTAGCTAGCTGTGTGTGTGTGTGTGTGTGTGTGTGTGTGTGTGTGTGTGTGAGCAGGCTTTGGTTGTCATGGCAATCAGGGGAGCCCACAGCAGCTGCGCGCGCTCTCTCTCTGTCTCTAACTCCTCAGAGAGACAGAAACATTTAAAATGAATCCCCTCGAACCCATGGCCAGGAACGACCGAAATGAAAACCGAAAAGACCGTGAGCGTCGTCATCTTGTTGACTATAGCGCTGCCGAATTTCAGTGGTTAAAGTTAAAAAATGTGACCTGGACAGATTGAGAGAGAAGAGGTTCAACGAGCTCCTTTCAAGATTCCTCCTCTCCATTTTAACATGGGAGTAGATGGGGCCGTGAGAGGGCGTTGCTGGCGCATCAGTGCGTCTCCCGCCAAAACTATTTGTCTGACAGCTTCAGCAGTGGTATCACTGCGACCCCAACGAATTTACCTACGTTTCTATCTATAAATTATTTCTGTAGAGTGAAATTTGTGGCCATGACAGCAGTTTACAAATTTATTTTTCGACAAATTTTTCTCTCTCCCCACACTCTAGCGATGATGCCCCCCCCCCTCTTTTTTTTTTTTTTTTTTTGGGTTTTCCTATTTTTTTCCCTTTTTTTTTTTTTCTTTTTTTTTTTTTTTTTTTTCGGTTTTTTTGTTTTTTTATTTAATTTAAATAATTTTCTACTAAAGCCCTTCCCCCTTTTCTTTTTTTTTTGTTTTTTTTTTTTTGTACTATATGGCGGGGGCACAAAACCGCGCGAAAAACGGACGAAAAAAAATAAAAAAGAATATGGTTTGTTTTTTTTTTTTTTTTTTTTATATTTTTAAAAAAAACAAGTATGGTTATTAGTATTTTGTTTGTTTTTTATCTACCCAAACAAACAACATGTTATTGTTGTTTTTTTTTTTTTTATGCTATAATAAAAAAAAAGCCAAAGGTTATTGTTTTTTTTTTTTTTTTTCACTTATAAAAAAAAAAGCGATAAAGGTTTTTTTTTTTTTTTTTTTTTACTCCAAAAAAAATTTTGGGTTTAATAGTTTTTTTTTTTTTTTTTTAGGAAACAAAAAAAAAAACCAGGAAGAGTAGTATTGTGCTTGCTTATATGCAAGGCAAAATGAATTAGAATAAACATGACCGAACTAATATTTTGGAGCTCCATTAAAATTAGTGTTTGCACAGGAGCTCATGCCTTGATACCCCTTCATCTGCTTAATGCATCCAGGTCAGTGCATCAGCTGACATTTGTTTATATATATATATATATATATATATATATATATATATATATATATTATGTATGCCAGGTGAAATCAAATATGTTTCTGTCAAATCCATTATCCTTGCTGCAATAATTAAAGTTAATGATGTTTACAATAAATAATTTTAAATAATTTTAAACTGATGCCCTGCTCTAGCCGCAGGATAGTGTGCAGGTACATTATCCCTTAAAACTAATAAACTGGGTTCAAGTTGGGGTCACAATTCTCTTACCAGTGGGTGAAAAGTATAAAAAGACTTTTCCTCCAGGGAATAATAAAGCATCACAGTCCTATTAATGATACATAATTGAACGATAATAATGATGGTACTAGGGTCCTTATGGGAGTGGAAGAGCTCACAGAATGTCCCCAAGACATTTGGTGAGGTTTGGGCACAGGCAGGAAATTCAAAAGGCAAAGGATACAAAGGGTATCATGGGATTTAGCTCATTTGGGAGCAGGGGGTGGAGAGGTGAATGGAAGGAAGTGGAAAAGAACACCGGTTAGGGAGAGATTGGTACGGAGAGAGTGACATATAAGGAGAGATGGAGGGAGAGGGAGAGATAGGAGTGGTTAAAGGTGGACATCGCTGGCACGGTGTAGCGTTGTGTCCTGGCACGGCTGCGGGACAGAGCAGTACACCTGCTCTCAGTCCAGTCCCTGTGGATCTAGAGGCGGACTGTCATCTCACACACACACATACATACACACACAGACACTCAAACACACATTCACTAATTTTATACAGTACACACACACACACACAGAGATGCTGTCATGCGTATATTTGGAGTCCTCTAAGGCCACAGAAATAATGTTTTTTTCACCGGAGGCTGTTGCTTTTACCCCTGCTGTCCATCTGTTTTTCTTTTTGGTGATAAAACATCTAGTGATAACAGCAGCTAAACACCTAATTCATAATAAAGATATAATAGTACACATGCATTTCCAGAAAGGGCATGCACACAGCTAAACATTCAGGCAGATCATTTATTTACATGACTCATCGGTTCCCAGTGCTCTGTGAGTGTGTATACAAACGTGTTCACACTAGAGGCACATTGTAAACTCAAATGATGGCATTAGTGGGTCTGATGAGGATTGTTATGTAATACAATATTTTGGCTTTTCATTGATAAGAGCAGAACAAATAGATTTCAGAGGATTTTGGATTAAACTTGAAACACAATAGAATGAAAGCGCCTTAAGATTTGCACCTAATCACAGCTTAATTAACAAATTATTTTACATTTATAAATGGAGCCATTGGAAAATATTTACAGTTGTCAAGCAGACATAAACTTGTAGAGCATTGTTTTCTGATCTGAATGGGACCGGGGAACTCGTGCAGATTATTTTTTTTTTTTAGTTGATAAACTTCTGAGCCTCTAAGTATTACAGATTCAAATGATTAGTGAAGTCTTTATTTGAGCATACTCTGATCACAGCGGCCAGCATGCTCCCTTTTGTTTCCACAGCTAGCAACTTGGTTCAAAGCATTCTTTGATTTCCTTACTATGTTTTAACAAAAAACTGTGTTTCAAGGCAATGAATAGCCAGTTGTCTGACGCCATTGCCCTTGAGCTAATGATAAAACACTGCTTAAAGTTGACCCCTTCCACCCCAGCTGAGACAGAACAATTCACAAAACTTCAAAAAGCTAAAATTCTCTCTAATTTCCGTGCTCAGTAACTCTAATAGTTTTCACACTGCTGGAGCAGACATTTCAAATAAAATCTCCAGTGTCAGCTACTAGTCTCAGACATCTCATGAAATATCAAACAATAAGTGTAATGTGGATAGGGAATAGAATATGAAAAATACGGCCCATGCTGAAAGATATAGTGTTACAGTGTATTGCTAAACTTGTACAATTCAGTTCTGGTAATCATTATGAACTAAGAATATAAATAAACCGTAATTACTGATTTAATTTGCTAACTTAACCACTTGAAATAGCATGTGGGCTTTTGTGATATGAACTCCATCTTAGTAAGGACTGTTAGAGGTTGTAAAATTGATATTTCCTCATCAGTATGAAAAAATATGCACAATGAACCAAATCCCTGTGGAGAACCTCTGTTTAAATGTTAATGTTCTGTCTTGTTCTCCAGTCGCAGTTTTCACAAGGATGAGTTCACAAACTGACACAGAGAATGATGCCATGTCAAGTGTGCTATGTAGGAGACGTGGCAACCAAGAGCAAAACAAAGTTTATCAGAAAGAATCTGACTTTGCTTGGTTCTACTTATTGAAAGGGGAGAGACATTAGTATCAAATGTCTCTCCCCTTTCAATAAGTAGAAAAAGTGACACAGCGCTGTGCTGCTTTGATGGCCTCCCCCCTTGGGCCAAGCCAGGGAAAATGGCCATTGTGGACACAGGTTGTTGACCAAAGGCAATCTCCACATTGTGGCCAAATAGCCCACAGAGATGTAAACATTACATGGAAGAATGGCCTACTGATCGACCTCAGAGATTGCAAAGTGAAGGTCAATGGTTTGTCCAACAGCCTATCAGAGGAGTGTGTGTGTGACCGTGTGAGTGTGTGTGTGCCAGAATGGGGCTGCGTGCGATTGGAGTGGGGTGGAGGTGAGCAACGGTGGTAAATTGAACCACCCAGTTTCGAAAAGGACTTAAAAGTGACTGTCACAAAGGATAAGCTTGATCTCTTCACTGCCGCATACCTGAGGATAAACCACACAGATGTGCATCCACATTCACACATACACAGCGGCCACAACGGGCCCCAGGTGTTGCCAGTGATATCTACCTTCCTAATCTCACTTCACAGACAAGTATGTGTCTGTAACTGTGATTATGCTCCATAAAGTTCACATGGTATTCTAGTCTAAGTCTTTGAAAAAACATGTTATTATATTTGTCGGAAAACCAACAACAATGAACAAGTCCTTCAAAATAAGGTTAGAAATATCCAACGTGGTAGTTTTGAGTGTTTCTTTGTTAATTCTCAGTTCACTTCCCACTCTGCTTTTGCCTTTAGGGACATTAATTTCTTCCACCTAAGCACTGGAAACTTTAATCTAACACAGCAATTACAGTAGTGCTACCTTATGTTTAAGTTATTAAGGCATTGTATGAATATGGGTAGAGGCTAAGTCACTTCAAATTTGTGGGGAAATGAGCACCATTTGCATAACTCACTTGGCCGTGCTTTGCAATTATGCCCCCTGTTCCGACACATGCTGCATCGTTCTGCATG